AAATGAGTGAAAGTCAAACAATTTAGTTCTTTAAATATGAAACTTTGAATGAGTATATAATCAGGAAAATTCAAAAGCAATAAGAAAACAACATTGAATTTGTGATGACTGTATCGGAAATACATTTCATAAGTAATGGTGTGGTTGCTTTTTCAAAGAGGCAAAAAACACGAAAATGGTTTACTAATATTTAAAAAAAAAATGTAACACATAAAGGGTTATACGGTCAAAATTTGGTCAATATCAACTTGACGTATTTCTTTCAATTTTGCATTTAAAAAACCTGAACACCCCTCATTTTGAAGGTGTGTGTGTGTAGAATATTGCTCCTATTTTGATTTTGGAATAGACGAGTGCACGGATGGATTTGAGTTCACTCACTCGCCAAAAAGTGACACAACAGCGGGGCCCTGTTTACTAAAAATGAACACATGTATAATACTCACGTAACATTTGAAACCGGCCTATCAACTTTCGTACACAAAACTTGTTAAGCCTTTTTCGCGTGAACCGAATACGCCCACGCAAACTAACAACACCATCGGGTAGACGTACTTTGGTTCTCGTGGAAAGGACCTAGTAAATTATTTACAAAAGTTGATAGACCCTTTTCAAATGTTACGCAAGCATTATTCATGTGTTCATTTTTAGTAAACAGGGCCCCGCTGTTGTGTCAAATTTTTTTCAGTAGATGAACAAAAGTTCACCCGTGCACTCGTCTATTCACTCTTCAGTTGTCAAAATGCCGTCCAAGCAAGAAGAGCAGCGTATCACAATTTTGCTCGCGCATCGCGAAAATCCGAGCTACTCGCACGCAAAGTTGGCAAAATCGCTAAAAGTTGCCAAATCAACCGTTACAAATGTAATTAAAGTGTTTGGGGAACGTTTGTCGACAGCCAGGAAGTCTGGATCGGGGGGAAATCGAAAACCGGAAGCCGCTGAGACGAGAAAGAGAGTTGCCGGTAGTTTCAAGCGAAACCCTAACCTCTCTCTCCGAGATGCCGCAAATAAGCTGGGTGTATCGTCTACAACCGTGCATCGAGCCAAAAAAACGAGCCGGACTATCGACTTACAAGAAGGTAGTGACTCCAAATCGCGATGATAAACAAAATACGACGGCCAAAGCGCGATCCCGGAGGCTGTACACGACGATGCTGACGAAGTTTGACTGCGTGGTAATGGACGACGAAACCTACGTCAAAGCCGACTACAAGCAGCTTCCGGGACAGGAGTTTTATACGGCAAAAGGAAGAGGAAAGGTAGCAGATGTTTTCAAGCACATGAAACTGTCAAAGTTCGCAAAGAAATATCTGGTTTGGCAAGCCATCTGTACCTGTGGCTTGAAAAGCAGCATTTTCATAGCTTTCGGGACTGTCAACCAAGAAATTTACGTGAAAGAGTGTTTGAATAAACGTCTGCTGCCTTTCCTGAAGAAACACGGTTGTTCAGTACTGTTTTGGCCGGATTTGGCATCTTGCCATTACGGTAAAAAGGCCATGGAGTGGTACGCCGCCAACAACGTGCAGGTGGTTCCCAAGGACAAGAACCCTCCCAACACGCCAGAGCTCCGCCCAATTGAGAAATACTGGGCTATTGTCAAGCGGAACCTAAAGAAGACCAAAAAAACTGCTAAGGGCGAGCAGCAGTTCAAGGCAAACTGGCTTTCTGCGGCGAAGAAGGTGGACAAGGTGGTTGTACAAAATCTGATGGCAGGGGTCAAGCGTAAGGCCCGGCAATTCGGATTTGGAAAAGCGGAAGCCTAACTGAATATTTTTCCTGAATTTTATACTAATTGAACTTGAAAAAGAAATTTAATTTGATTTTTTAAATAAACGATTTCACCGATTTACACGCATTTTCCCTTGACCAAATTTTGACCGTATCACCCTTTACTATTTCAAAACTATATACCATATCAACGAAAATACCCTAAGCTACAATATGGAACCAATGTTTGTTATTTGGAAAAAGTACAGCGAGTAAATTTATTCTTTATATGATACTATCAAAGTTACCCGCATTATCAAAGATACCCCGTTTTACGGTATGTTTTTCTGATTCACAAGCGATGCGTTGTGGTAGTGTTCCACACGGGCTTTCGCTAGTGTTTGCCACTAGTTGAGCCACTTTCTGATCCGAAGTTTCACTTCTTTTCTTTGGTGCTGCTCCAAAATATATAACGGCTTGTAGGAACCCACTGAGAAGGCGGACTCTTTCGCAAAGGTGGGCGCGCAGGAAAGCGAATTTTATGACAGGCAAATTTCACACGATGAATTTTACCATTTAGTGCGTCAGAGTACCCTTTCGAGTTGGCAAACCGATTGGGACAATGGAAATCTTGGACGGTGCTTACATTCAATTATTCCTAATGTTTCTTCGAGAGCGTGGTTTAAAGGCTTGGACTTAACTCGTGACTTCATTCGCGTGATGAGTAGACTTATGTCCAACCACTACTCGCTAGATGCTCATCTCAATAGAATAAACCTCGTGGACAGCAACATCTGTCGGTGTGGAAACGGTTACGATGACATCGATCACGCAGTTTGGCAATGTACGGATAATGACGCCGCCAGAGAGCGACTTTTGAATACCCTTGAGGCCCAAGGAAGACAACCCTATGTTCCTATCAGAGACGCGTTGGGAACTCGCGATATCTGCTATATGCAGTCGGTTTATGTGTTTCTTCAAATGTCTAGTATAGGAATTTAATTCCTTTGTCTTTTGTCTCTCTTTAATAGTTTTTGTTTGTCTTGTCCCCCCGTCTCGATGAGTCTCATCGTCGCCCACTGGTCACCCACCATAGCCGGTCGAACTCCAGACGAAACTAGAACCGCACTACCGTTCATACTGGTGACAAAACTCTGATGAGACAACGAAACCCTACCCCAAGCTCCTCTCCTGATCCTATCCTTCGACAATGTACCTCTCTAACCTCGAGTAAGCCGCGAGTATTCGGCCCAACTCCTACTAGACATAGAATTAAGTGAATTTTATTACAAACAAAGAACAATGAACTATCGGCTCCGTAAAGCTAACGCGATTGAGCCTTCCAAATAAATGAACTAGTTAAAAAAAATCTATGTCCATAGATGATCATCGATTTATATACAGTGGGGGAAATTCGTTTAAACGCAATGTCATTTTTGCGTTTATTTTCAACACAAAAGATCGAGACAAAAAATCAAATATAGTTTGTCATAGCCCATCAGAAGTCTCGTATTTGAGAACACAATTTGAACGGAAGTTCATTGTGGTCTCTGAAAAAATCCAATAAAGGTGATTTTAGAGGGGAAATTCGTTTAAACGCACACTAACGTAAAGCCGCATTGAGCGTACCTATGCTCCTGTTATCTTGCGCATCTGTCATATTTACACTGTATAGCCCTCGTTCGCCATTAACACGAGTTTAAATAGTTGTTGCTTGTTTTCGGCAAAATGGGTAAAGGAAAGTATTTAAGCCAGTCGGAGCAAATACTGGTTCGAGAACTCAAAAGTCGCGGTGAGAGCAATCGCAAAATTGCACGTGTGATCCACAGATCGGAAGCAGCAATCAGGAACCTGCTGAAAAAAGGCAAGACGTATGGCGTAAAAAAGAAAACAAAGGGAAATTCGAAGATCACCAACCGTGTCCGAAACCAAATCATACAAATGGGAGACTCTGGAAACTTCTCTGCTGCGCAAATCAAGCAAGAAATGGGGCTTTCCATTTCTAAGAGGCGTGTACGGCAGATTCTACATGGAAGTGGCCACTTAAAGTACACCAAAAAAGCAAAAAAACCCAATCTTCAACCGGCCCACATTAGTGCCAGATTGAATTTCGCTAAAAAATACATGTCTTGGACTACGGAATGGGACAATGTTATTTTTTCTGACGAGAAGAAATTCAATTTGGACGGCCCAGACTGCACCGCATATTATTGGCACGATTTGAGGAAATCTCCGCAGGTTAAGTTGAGCAGGAACTTTGGAGGTGGTACTCTAATGTGTTGGGCCACTTTTTCGATCCATGGAAAGACCCCTATTGCCACCATTTCAACCAGGATGAATTCGGGAAAGTACTTGGAGCTTCTGGAAGATGTTTTGATCCCGTTTACTGAAGACGTTATGCCGGAAAATTTCGTATTTCAACAGGATAATGCAGCAATTCATGTCAGCAAGCAATCTTTGAAATGGTTTTCTGAACGAGACATCAGTCTTTTGGATTGGCCAGCTCGTAGTCCGGATCTAAATCCTATCGAGAACTTGTGGGGCATCCTGGCACGACAGGTTTACAAAGGCGGAAGGCAGTTTAAAACAGTTCGTGAACTTGAGTCAGCCGTAAGAGAAGCCTGGAGCTTGATACCTGATACAACTCTGCAGAAGCTGGTGAAATCAATGCCGAACAGAATTTTCGAAACTATTCAGAAAAACGGAAAGCAAACGAAGTATTAACTATTGTTTATTGTTGATTTTTGAAGTGTGAACTCGATTTGATTAATAAAACTAAAAGTGCGTTTAAACGAATTTCCCCCCCCAAAATCACCTTTTTTGGGATTTTTTCAAAAGTCATTATGAACTTCCAATCAAATTGTGTTCTCAAATACGAGACTTCTGATGGGCTATGACAAACTATATTTGATTTTTTGTCTCGATCTTTTGTGTTGAAAATAAACGCAAAAATGACATTGCGTTTAAACGAATTTCCCCCACTGTATGAGTACATATTAAGCAAAAATTTTCACCACACAAATGAAGTACTTAAAAATTTAAGAAACATTCTAAAAGTCATGCATGTAAATGCTACACTCAATAGTTTCGTTGCAAATGGCCATGTCCCACTTTTAACCCAATTAAATACATCCTACGGGGATGTCGATTTACCGATTTAAGGGGGATGTGCCAACGCAAAGTATGACGATATAGTGCCGTACCCTATGCAGATGTTTTCTAAAAACCGTTTGTTGTGGGCAAAAATACCTTCCATGGTTGTTGAACAATCCAACCAAACCCTCCATACTTACTGCGGAATGAGGAGAAACAGGGAAATCGGAATGGTAGTAAACATCAGCGCCCAGAACCAGTCCCTGGTGGCCCAGAACACCATCGGCAGGATGCACAGTCCCGTCGTCCAACCGATACATTGCATCATGCTAATGTAACCACGCCGTTCGCTGGAACAAGAAGAAAAAAAGTTCACATCCGGTAAACAACAAATGTGAGATGAAATTTTCAGAACTCGTACAATGCGCCATATTATTTCCTATTGTTCAACAACACGTGAAAACAGCGAGCTATCTACGACATATGTGTGGTGCATGCTTAGCTGATTGGAACCGCAGTGCGGTTCCGATTGTCGCCGTCGTCGTTCGGAACAAACAAGCCATAAAAATGATGATTTATTGAAACATTGTCGTCTATCGAACTTTTTTTTTTTCTCTGCTCGCAGACACACGCATGAAGAATCAATTTCGTATAACATGCCAGGTAGGAAGGTCTAACTACATACCTTTTTGAAATTTCCATTGCGATGATCAGCGGTGCCTGGAAAATTGAATTCGACGTGAGGGAACCCAGCACGGCCGCCATGCAGAACACGACGTAAATCGACGCCGTGAACATGGAGATGAGTCGCCCGGCGGTGATGATTATCACGCTGAAGTAGAACACCGGTCGACGTCCGAGGCTGTTTTAAATGGAAAAATAGGAAACAAGTTTAGGGCTGCAGTCGTAATTCTAACAATTGATTGGGATTGTCTATGGAAATCCATTAGCATCGAGCTGGATATGTGGATAGTGGAGATAACAGACGGATGTGATAGAGTTTTTAACAGCTCATTCATAAAAAAACAAAAATCTTGCTAATTTAGAAAAAAAAGTATCCCAAAGGCACTCTTCCAGAGAGAGAGAGAGAGAGAGAGAGATACAAAACGGACATGGAGCATCCAATTTCCAAGCGACTCGGTGATGCTAAGGGCATCGGCATGAACGCCTGATTGAATGCTGAAGATGAGACTATTTCAGTTCAAGCATCATTCCATCCAAGTAAAACTGCACGAATTGCAAAACACTTACCGAAAATTGCCCCCGGATCATCCCAGCTCCAAACTTGATGCTACGTGACACAAATCGGACACAATTTAACCGTAGTAACTAGTAGGTACTCACGTATCACCCAGCTGGCCGAAAATGAACGTCCCAATCAGTTCACCGAAACGGTTGTACACAAAAATGTTTGTCTCCCGGAAGCCCTTGTCGCAGATCCAGTCGTTCTCGGTGATGGGCGTACGGTCGTAGTACGTTCGGTCGTAGTCGTACCCGTAGGCGCAATCTGAATGAAATATGGCGACGATTCAAAATTGCAAAAATTGATCATTGAATATTGATAATGGAAAACAAATTTTATTTTCCACTAACTGATAATATCCGTTTCCAGAAAGTTCCACTCGCTGTGATGCTGCTGTAAGTGTGCCTCTGTCACGTTGTACATCTGGCATTTGCTGTAGCTCAGGATACCCTTGTTGTCTTCTTCTCTGAAATTCAATAAATTATTAAGCTGCTCGTAGTGATGAAGCACCGAAAAACATCCTCACCTTGGCAGTGTCAAGTTCTTCCACATTTCCGCATCCGTTATGTTGTACTGCTCCATACCCGGCACGTGGCAATTGTGCGGAGGTTTATTCAGTGCCAGTATGATGCTCATGTAGGACATCGAGGCAAAGATGATTGCTCCCATGTTGAAGATGACGTTGAATCGATGCTGAAATCGGCCATCGTTGCCGACCTTCTCCAGGATTCCATCGAAAAGGGCTTCATCCGCCTCCATGGTGGTGCTATTTGTCGTCGCTGTTGTCGCGTGATGAGATCTTTATGCTGCTTACACTATCCCCAATACTGTGGATCTGGAAGCTAGCGGAATGGAAATGAAGTTTCAAAATATAAGAAAAATCGTATGCCATTTGAATTGCTTTCAAAACAGAGAGTACTAAAAGCTTTTCTTTCAACTATCCCTCGGAAGCGGTGGGAGCTTAAGATGTGGAAATGCATCGGAAGGATGTTTTGCTTTAAATGAAAAAAATATGCAAGGTGATGAGATAAGGGATTTGCTCTCCGTTAAGCTGAGCAAAACGGCAGATTCATGGCAAAAGAAATGCAAAGTGATTTTCTTCTGAAGGATTCTTGGCGAGGTTTCAGAGATAAATTTCCATTTGCATCTGATGTTCTTCTAAAGATAAGTAAAATTGTAACCGGCCGGTGACTGTCAGCTGAGCTCCTCACGAACCTATTCATGCGGTACATCGGCGGACATTATGTCATTGGGCTGTTATTTGCGATCGGAATCTGTTCGGTCACGTATAGTGCCAATCACCGACGCCAACGAGGTAACTCCCAGACTTGGAACCCATCAGAACCATCAGCACATGGGCCAGGACCAACTGCTTTACTTCCTTTCAAACTAAGACGTTACCAGAGATTTCTTCACATCTGAAAAAATCTGACAACCTCGGCTGGGATTGAACCCAGACACACTGTGATGAGAAAGCAGTCACGCTTATCACTCATTCACCGGAGTTGTCCTTTTTCTGATTCTGATTTAAAAAATAATTATATAAACATGTAGCAGGTAAAAATATGAGGTACCTAAGCTCGTTGAAGAGATTCTTCTTGTGACGAATTTTGGTGGAGAAGCAGCAGCAGCAGCAGCAGTAACAGCAGCAGTAGCAGCAGGAACTGCTGCACAGCACTCAAGGAGAGTAGCCGAGAGCATCACGGATTCGTGTAGCCGTGATCGAGGCTGGAAACCTCGGTCCGGTCACGACAAGCATGAACTTCTGTAAATCCTAAGGGTTCTTACACTACAGAAATTTTTCAGATTCAGATTCCTTAAAATTTTAAAGTCTCTAACATTTGATTTGTTTAAGCTCGTTTTATTGGATATAATATTGGATCTTTTCGAAAATGCCAGACTTTGAAAAATGTAGGAGATTGTGAATGTTACGAATTACGCAAATACTTTGTTACTCATTGATTAATTAAATTTTCCAAGTTTGAGATCTCAGTCCCAGAATCATGCTTGGCATGCACAGTTGTACACACCAACTGCTCATTTATTAATAACTTTTCACTTAGTTGTTGAAATGAAATTTTCTTTGAAGTAATTGGTAGATTATTTTTACTATATAGTTTACTATAGATATGCAAAGAGTAGGTAAATCTTCACATTTAAATCGACACCAATGAATTTTTAACCTGAAGTCCGAAATGTGCAGTGAGCATTTCTCACTTCATTTTTACAACGCATTACAATTTATTACTAGCAGTGTTGGCAAAATCATCAATCAAATAATATTTTTCCGCTCTCGTACGCTCTCAATATCACGCTTGATATTGCAACAAAATATCATGCTTGATTTTACAAGCTCCTTTAATATTGCGAGACTATTCACAACGCGCAAAAATCATGCTGAGAGCTGACTCGACACAAAAATGATTCCGTTCCACATCGTTTTCTCAGAAAGAGAAAGTATAGTTTGCTATCTCTTTTTAATCTTCACCGACTGCAGACACGACATGACTGATGCCAGCCGTTATGGAAGATTCGGTTGCATTCGGGTGTAAAGCAAAAATCATTAAACTCAATCTCACCACAGCTTGGTGAGATTTGCAGTTGGTGAGTTTTGCTAGCTTGACATTCCGAGCTGCGATATCACAGCTTTCAAAATCAACCGCAGATGTTTGCTTGTTGATTTTTGTCTACAAAAATCAAGCGTGATCTTGGGCATTGGTGAGATTTGATGTTTTTGATATTTTTTCAACACTGATTACTAGAATTAAAATCAACTTTTTTTTTACGTATCTATAGTATTCTATGTGCGCGAGTAATGATGGTCCGAAAGTGAGGATAGCAATAACAAACCAACATTATTGGCTGGAGCGAAAATGAGGATAACAAACTTCGCACTTGAAAATGGGATTACGCAAGTGTGCGTGTTATAAACGTCAGAAAGCTCAATTACAAGCTTAAACTCTATTCTATCTGGGGGCGACCGCGGCGTAGTGGTTGGCATCCATACCTCTCACGCCAAAGTCACGAGTTAAAATCTCACTCCCGGACAAGTCACGAATGACCCAAGAGCATTAAAGTGACTTTAATAATAATAATAATAATAATAATAACTATTTTATCTACTGCTTCAAAAAGAACTACAGCTTTCCCCTGAAGAACGCGTTACCCACTGAGTTGCACTCACCGCTTTGTCTCGGTGGGTGTTCAACCAAGCGCTCTGATTTTCTGCGAGTGACTAGTTCTCCATTGACCCTACTCACATGCAAAAAATCAGACCGAGAAAAAGCGGTGGGTGCAACTCAGTGGGTTACGCGTTTTTCGGGGGATAGCTGTATGTTTCATCAACTGTGTGCAAAGTTATTAGCAAATGAGCAGTTCGTGACCAAAACTGTGTATGCCAAGCATGCCCAGAATGTTGAAAACAAATTTAAAAAATATGATGTCCCAACATCCACCGGGGGGGGGGGGGGGGGGTGGATACCCCTCACTATCCCACTCCAACGGGGGAATTTGGTAAAGAAAGATGATTATCCCGATTCGTAACTTCTTCAAAGTTGTGCTTGCTCGCTTTCTACTCTCTATGTACAATTTTCACACTGCCATACTCTAACGGAACTATCAACTCTATACTTTAATCCCCTCATCCATCGTAATAAATGTCCACTTTAAGTCTGTTATTTGAAACTTGACATCTTCAAATTCACGCAGAAGTAATCCAAACATAAGTATAGTTAAAGTAAAACACCTTGTAGCCCCCAAACTTATGAAGCTTCAAAACAATAAATCGACAGTGAGCATGCATAAGGGCCTATACGCGATGATCGATTCTCTTCGTCGATTTTCTCTTTTGTTAATAACTCGCTAGATTTAACGTTTCTCGATGCGTTTGCTGTTGCTTTTTATAGCCAATACAACCTGTTACTACTCTGCATTCTACAAATTCTAGAAAATTGTTTCGCCTAGCTGTAGCAATGCAAAGAGAAAATCGATGAAGAGAATCGATCATCGCGTATTCGCCCTTATGAATGCTCACTGTCGAAATAAAAGCAAACTCGACAGTACGATACATAAGGGCGTGAACGCGATGATCGATGCTCTTCGTCGTTTTTCTCTTTTGTTAATAACTCGCTAGATTTAACGTTTCTCGGTGCGTTTGCTGTTGCTTTTGATAGCCAATACAACCTGTCACAACTCTGCATTGAAAAAAATTCTAGAAAATTGTTTCGCTTAGCTGTAGCAATGCGAAGAGAAAATCGATGAAGAGAATCGATCATCGCGTATACGCCCTTATGCATGCTCACTGTCGAACTTCTCGTTCGGTGGAGCTTTCACGATCTAGTTTTGAAAACAACAAATATAATGCTTTTCGATGAAAAAATGTTTCCTTCAGAAGGCTGTACCATTAACCTGATGCAAAATTTGAAATTTTCGCTCCACAGTGCTCAAACGGTTCCAAATTGGGTCCTGTTTAGCCTCCCAAAATTTGAACTACTTTAATTAGAAACTGACTTGGCACAAACCATTTCAAGTTTATATGGGAATTACTATGGGAAAACTTATGTTTTTGTTCATATCTATCTAACAATTCACCCCATCACTATGATTTAGTTCAACTTAGTTCAAGACCACTTTTCAATCAAATGTAAGAAACAAAAGTGATTAATGATTCAAGTCACTGATGTCTTATGATTATGCTCATTCAACTGTTCAGCAGGCAACATTGGTGTTTCTGGTGCGAAGAATAGAGCACAAATCAAGCTGAACATTGCATTAGGTCCTAAGTAACATCGATTGATTCTTTTCGTCGAGAAAGTCGTTAATAATTTGAGCAGATAACCGTTTCTTGTTGTCTTTGTGCTATTAGTTGCTAGATAAAAGCTTGTTTTATCGATCTGTGTGCTGAAAATACATGGGAATGCCTTTACATGGCCATGGAGATACAAAGAGAAAGTCGACGAAGAGAATCTGTCAATGTTACTTAGGACCTAATGCAATTTTCAGCTTGAAATATCATGGCTACTATGTCACACTGCAGAATGCAGTGTTGCCCACAAAACAGCTGTTTGATCATGCCATAAGATTATCAATCCCTTAAACAATTAATATCATTGTAATTTGACATTTGGCTGAAAAACGATATTCCGCAAAGTTGTAGCTTAGAAAATTTTCCGTAAAAATAATTATTGAAATTTTCGAAAATGCGATATGGAAAATTGGTAGAAGACAACGAACAAAAAGTTTGGTTTTTCCATAGTAATTATAACCTTCGAATAGTTTGTGCCAAGTCAGTTTCTTACCAAATGAGTTTAAATTTTGGGAGGCTAATCAGGACCTGATTTGAAACCGTTTGAGTACTGTGGAGCGAAAATTTCAAATTTTGCATCAGTCTACTATAACATATAGGTAACTCTAAGACTGGTAGGTCCCGAAGGAAACGTGCTCAACTTTTCGGCTCAGCTCTCTTACTATATTTGGTCCCAAGCTAATCGATGCACCCCTCGAAACATAGGAAAATCCACGAACCCCTGTCAAACTCTCATAGCGAATCAAAACAAGCATAGTGTAGTACTAGAATTTCGTCTAGAATGGTGCACGTTAATCGATTTACTTGGGACCAGGGTTGCTTCTACTCACTTGCTATAAAAATATTTTTTTCGGAATTATGAAATCATTACATATTATAATGATAATATGTGCTTGTAAGTTACAAGAAAAGTTGGAAGCTATATGTTTGACACATAAAACCTGTAATTATTGCTTTAATTGCGCCACAATCAGCAAATTTTGCGATTCGTGAGCGCTCACTCTGAGTGAACGCTCACGAGTCATACATTCGCTGATT